GGCCAGCAGGTGCAGTTGCGGGGCCGGTAGAAGGGGACGGCAGGAGCCGTCAGGAGGGGACGGCGGGGCCGTCAGGAAGGGACGGCGGGGCCGTCACGAAGGGACGGCGGGGCTGTCAGGAGGTGACCGGGCCGCGACGGGGGGCAGGCGGCGGGGCCGCGTAAGGGCCTGGGCGGGGCCGCGACAGAGCCGTCGGCGGGGCCGCGTGGAAAGCCGGAGCGGGGCCGCGTAGAAGCCGGGGCGGGGCCGCGCGAGAGCAGGCGGCGGGGCCGCGAAGGAGCCGGGGCGGGGCCGCGTGAGAGCAGGCGGCGGAGCCGCGTAAGGGCCTGGGCGGGGCCGCGACAAAGCCGTCGGCGGGGCCGCGTGAAAGCCGGGGCGGGGCCGCGTAGAAGCCGGGGCGGGGCCGCGCGAGAGAAGGCGGCGGGGCCGCGAAGGAGCCGGGGCGGGGCCGCGTGAGAGCAGGCGGCGGAGCCGCGTAAGGGCCTGGGCGGGGCCGCGACAAAGCCGTCGGCGGGGCCGCGTGAAAGCCGGGGCGGGGCCGCGTAGAAGCCGGGGCGGGGCCGCGCGAGAGCAGGCGGCGGGGCCGCGAAGGAGCCGGGGCGGGGCCGCGTGAGAGCAGGCGGCGGGGCCGCGACAGAGAGGGCGGCGGGGCCGCGTCAGTGAAGGCGGCGGGGCCGCAGGGGAAATGGCGACCCGAGGGGTCGATAAAAAAAAGATCGCGCCTCGGGGGGCGCTTTGGTGGGCCCAAAAAAAAACGGTCCGTAGAAGGACCCGCTCTATACCATGTCAGAATCAGCGAACAGGAATGATGAACTAGCAGTGAAATGAGTACAAGTAGGAAACCCTAGAATTGTGTACCCCCTATAGGCTAACCCACTGTAGCCTACACAAGCATAACATATATAATGTTTGACAGATGTCTCCCAGTGAGTCATTTACCCTGACGAATATCAGTTCAAGGCGGCCGTTGTGGTTCATCTCGCTCTGGAGCCCGAAGACTTCGGGAAGTTTAACGACAACTGGAAGAAGGGCGAGTGGGCGAAGAGGTGCACCGGCATTTGTAACGGCCGGCGTGGGAAACTCGGGAACAAGTCCCGGAAGGCGAGTTTCAAGCTGCTGAAGTACCCTGATGGCAAAGTCGTTCACAACTCCGTGGAGGATCGGCGCAATTATGCTCGAGCCTGTGTCTCTGGTACGTGAGTTATCTTATTGCTGTTGCTCTAGTTATGACTTGTTTGTGACTCCTGTGTTTTTAATTTCAGAGGAGTTTGGCCTGCCGTGGCATGTTGACGATAACAAGCCGTTCTGTAGCGAGGCGTGTCAGAATCCCAACCACTAGACCATTGGGATAAAAGGGCTTGTTAAGTAGCGGGTCAGTGCGCCCATAACCCCCCAGGCCAACGTGCGTGTAACCCTTCCCTAGGATCAATCGGGGATCACCAGTGGACCTCTGACACCCCCCCGCACTGGGATGCTCGAAGTGCATACACCGGGATTCGAACCCGAGACCTTCGCTCCGATACCATGTCAGAATCCCAACCACTAGACCATTGGGATAAAAGGGCTTGTTAATTAGCGGGTCAGTGCGCCCATAACCCCCCAGGCCTGTTAAAATAAGCGAGAGTGAGCTGAGTAGTAACTAGGGCCTAGGCTTAGAAGCCTAGGCCCAACTTAGGTATCGAGTGGGTTTTGCCTAGGGAGGGGAGAGTCGAGAAAAGTTGGAAAGGTAAAAAGGTGGTTTCACTATAGGTTCAAGGAACATATAGCATAGGAAACACAAGGAAGAGGTGCACCACCTACAGATTTAAATAACTACACTAACTACAGCTACAGGCAGTTACATAATATAAGTTCTGACATTCCCCCATAACTGCCTGCAGCAGGAGTTTGTGTAGAATACAACCTGCAGGTGTACACATGCAAAATAATAAAGAACAAGCAACAGCAGGAACTGCAGGCGGGCTGACACAAGTAGGTCACCCCCTCCATCTTCTCACCCTCCTCCTTCCCCTCCCCCACACTGCTGCAGGAGCAGCAGAGAGGGGGGGGGAGAGAGGAGAGGTGGAGGGACGGCTGCTGGTTGCCTCACACCCGCCACCCCGGCGCCTCTCCCCCTGCTCCCCCACACCCTCACACCCTCCCCCTCAGCGGCAGCTGCAGCAGTGGGAACAAAAGGAGGAGGAGGGGAAGGGAAGGGTACGACCCACGACTCCAACACCCGCCCACCCCCATACCCTCCCCCCCACGGCTGCAGGGAGATGAAGGAGGAGGGGGGTGGGCGGGAAGAAAGCCGCAGAGCGGCTAGATAGGGTCGATGCAGGTAGGTCAGGGGCAGCTGCAGGGAATGCAGGTGCGGAAAGCACCGTCGCAGGCGCCAAGGGCGGGTCCGCGGCGGCTCAAGGGCACCGCCCGCGGGCGCCAGGGGCGGGTCCGCGATGGCGCAGGGCACCGCCGCGGGCGCCAGAGGCGGGTCCGCGGGCGCCAAGTGCACCGCCGCGGGCGCCAAAGGGGGGTCCGCGACGGCAAAGGGCACCGCCGCGAGCGCCAGAGGCGGGTCCGCGGGCGCCAAGTGCACCGCCGCGGGCGCCAAAAGGGGGCGGTGTCCGCGACGGGTAGAAAGGTAAAACGTCACGCGCCCGAGGCTCGTGACCAGAAATCCAGCAGCGGAAGAATTGGCGGGCCCACAGGCCAGGACGAAACTGCTCTGATAACCATGTTAAAATAAGCGAGAGTGAGCTGAGTAGTAACTAGGGCCTAGGCTTAGAAGCCTAGGCCCAACTTAGGTATCGAGTGGGTTTTGCCTAGGGAGGGGAGAGTCGAGAAAAGTTGGAAAGGTAAAAAGGTGGTTTCACTATAGGTTCAAGGAACATATAGCATAGGAAACACAAGGAAGAGGTGCACCACCTACAGATTTAAATAACTACACTAACTACAGCTACAGGCAGTTACATAATACAAGTTCTGACAAGGCCAACGTGCCTGTAACCCTTCCCTAGGATCAATCGGGGATCACCACTGGACCTCTGACAAGGCGTTCTTAGCTGCTGCAAGCTGTTGTGTGATGCAATCATATGCATTCACGTCTGTCTGCCTCCCATCATATGTTCGTGCGTTGCATGCGTGGTGTGAGCGTGTGCAAGAATTTGTGTTTGATGTGGTTTGATTTTTCTGATTGTGTGTGAATGTTATTTAGCTTGAGCAGATATCTGAAGTGACTCCTCTGCTCAAGAGCTTTCCGACGACCAAGTATCGCTTCAATCGGAGCACGAACAAGAAAGTTACGAACGTTGGAGTTCGTATGCTTTTGATATTGGTTGTGGTGACTATGGGAAGTTGTGGGGTTGACTCAATATGGGGTACAGAATTTTGGGGTTGGGAAATTCGTCAACATCACTGTAGATGCTGCCAAGTGGTTGGGAGAAACCAAACCAGGTTGGCAAGTGTGGCCAAGTTGGGTTAAGGTGGATGGCATGGGTTGGGAAAGTGACAAAAGTGAAAGTGGGGTTGCCTATGGAGAGGGGAATTGTGTGGCATGGGGTTTCTTGGTTGGGGACTGTCTTGGGACCTTCCCTCTCGTCCTCCTCATCCATCCCACCTGGTTATTGCTACTCTAACTCTCCATGTGTAGTTACTGTGAACTTGTGTGAGAACTTTGTGATTGAGTTAAGATTCTATGGCAGCATACCCCCTAGTGCGCCGAAATTGATAACTCAAGAAATACTTCATCTTTTCGTTTATGATTCAACTTGGAAATTGTAGCCACGGACTAGCGCTACATTATATCTAAGTTTAGTGAAGTTTCAACAGTTGCACCTTCCGTTGACGGCGTTTCTTGTGAAGTCGACGTTTCTGTCCAGAATTCTAGCCAACGATTTTGAGAATTTTAGCCACCTAATCTTCGTAGACTCCATCCTTAGTCTCTAACACAAGCAAGTGGCAGAAGAAAGAGGGGGTGTCTACACCCTGAGCATTGACCAGCTGTGCTACACCATGGTCGCGGTGAGGCGAACATGCATTTATAATGCTTTATCTTGCCATTTTCAACGGCTAATTTCGCTCTTTTTCTTGGCAGGTCGAGTTTGAGATGCTATGTCGTGATCGAAGCAGCATGTTTTCTGATTCCGAGAACAACACCCGCGAAATGACCAAGAGGAAGTTCCAGATTGAGAGCTGGGTCCGTCACGCTAGCATTCCACTAGTCAGTGGGTTCTACTATTTTGGAGATGTCATTGTTAAGGATTGGCAGATTGTAGAGGATGTTTAGTAGCTTATGTAGCTGTAGTGCATTTGTAGGTTTAGTATGTGACATTCTGATGATTAATTTCTAATCAATTAGTATTGTAAGCGTTTAATAATAGTTAATTATAATTAGCGAATTGTTTTGATTTGTTGGTACTAAACCCATTCGAAATTCTTCTGATCATATTTTTAGCAGTGTAGTTATCTCAATTAAATATCGCCTTGTCACATCTCTAATAGGAACAAATATCCACTAAACTTTTCTTTATCGCTTTTGTACATAAGCATATTGTTATCATGCGGTAACCAACTTTAACAATTTTGTTACGCGAGTGGTTACAACTGAACTTGTCAATTCTCGCCTGTGCAAGGGCCTCTTTTCGTTTCCGAAAGTAACAAACTAGATTACTCGCCCCAACTGACATGCACATGCGCAACTTACACATTTCAATCGTTTCGCAGGTTGGTTTCGGCAGTGCGCAGGTTGACTGCAGGGTGGTTCTGTTGCCCCACAATTACCCCCCCAGCATTGAAAGGAGATTGACAGGACTCCCGAAAACGGGAGGAGTCACCAGGAAGGCTTCCAGCTAATTGCTGAAGCTACATTTCTTCGTGCGATGTTAAGCGCGGGTGGTGCGCGAGCGGGGATTGTTTTCTGAGGCACCGCGGTTATCAGGTGCGTTCCCGGTCATTTCATCCTCCCTCCCCCCTCTGAAAATTCCTTTTTGTGTTTTTTTTGCTCTCTTCCTAAATTTTGTGTGTCAATTGGTCTCCTCTTGCATGGCACTTTCATTTGAAGAAGGGGAGAGAGGACGGGTGCGCGCGAGAAAGCGCGTGAGGGTGTGCATGAGAGAGCGCGACAGAGAGCGCGTGAGAGAGAGAATGCGCGTGAAATTGCGGAGAGACAGAGCGCGAGAGAGTGTGCCTGAGAGTGGGCATGAGGGTGCGCGTGAGAGAGGCGCGAGACGAGAGCGCGTGAGGTTGCACGTGAGAGAGCGCGTGATTGAGTACGTGAGAGAGAGCGCGTGAGAGAGCACGTCAAAGAGCGCGTGAGAGAGCGCGTGAGAGAGCGCGTGTGAGTGAGTGCGTGAGAGAGAGCGAGTGAGAGAGTGCGTGAGAGTGCGCGTGAGAGTGCGCGTGAGAGTGCGCGTGAGAGAGTGCGTGAGAGAGCGCGTGAGAGAGCGCCAGGAGAGGGCATGTGAGTGAGTGCGTGAGAGAGAGCACGTGAGAGAGCGCGTGAGAGAGCGTTTGAGAGCGCATGAGAGGGCGCGTGAGTGAGTGCGTGAGTGAGTGCGTGAGAGAGCGCGTGAGAGAGCGCGTGAGAGAGCGTGTGAGGGTGCGCATGAGAGAGCGCGTGAGAGAGCGCGTGAGAGAGAGAAATGCGCGCGAGAGTGCGAGGAGAGTGAGCGCAAGAGGTAGTGCGTGAGAGTGTGCCTGAGAGTGCGCATGAGGGTTGTGCGTGAGAGAGCGCGTGACGAGCGCATGAAAGAGCGCGTGAGAGAGCGCGTGAGGGAGCGCGTGAGAGAGCGCGTGAGAGAGCGTGCGAGAGAGTGCGTGAGGGAGCGCGCGAGAGAATGCGTGAGAGAGCACGTGAGAGATGCGCGTGAGAGGAGCGTGAAAGAGAGAGAATGTGCGTGAGAGTGCGTGAGGGCGCGTGTGAGAGAGAGCGAATGAGAGTGTGCCTAAGAGTGCGCGTGAGGGTGCGCGTGAGAGAGGACGTGAGAGAGAGCGCGTGAGAGAGCACGTGAGAGAGCGCGTGAGAGAGCGCGTGAGAGAGCGCGTGAGAGAGCGCGTGAGAGAGCGCGTGAGGGAGCGCGTGAGGGAGCGCGTGAGAGAGCGCGTGAGTAGAGCTCGTGTCAGAGAGCGCGTGAGAGAGCGCGTTGAGAGAGCGCTGTGAGAGAGCACGTGTCAGAGAGCGCGTGAGAGAGTGCGTGAGAGAGTGCGTGAGAGAGCGCGTGAGAGAGCGCGTGAAGGACCACGTAAGAGATTGCATCAATGAGCACGTGAGAGAGCGCGTGGAGAGTGTGGCGAGAGAGTGTGCATGAGAGAGCGCGTGAGAGAGAGAATGCGTAAGAGAGTGCGCGAGAGGGAGTGCGACGGAATGCATGAGAGCTTGTGAGAGAGCGCATGGGAGATTGCGTGAGAGAGCATGTGAGAGAGGCGCGTGAGAGTGCGCATGCGAGAGCGCGTGAGAGAGTGCGTGAGGGAGCACGTGAGAGAGCGCCGTGAGAGTGCATGAGATAGAGCGTGAGAGAGTGCGTGAGAGAGCGCGTGAGGGAGCGTGTGAGAGCGCGTGAGAGTGCGTGTGAAAGTGCGCGTGAGAGTGTGCGTGAGAGTGGGCGTGAGAGTGCGAGTGAGAGAGGGCGAGCGCGTGAGAGAGCGCGTGAGAGTGTGCGTGAGAGAGCGCATGAGAGAGTGCGTGAAAGAAGCGCGTGAGGGAGCGCGTGAGAGAGCGAGTGCGCGTGAGTGCGCGTAAGAGAGCGCATGAGAGAGCGCGTGAGAGAGCGCGTGAGAGAGCACGTGTCAGAGAGCGCGTGAGAGAGAGTGCGTGAGAGAGTGCGTGAGAGAGTGCGTGAGAGAGCGCGTGAGGGAGCGCGTGAGAGAGCGAGGTGCGCGTGAGAGTGCGCTTGAGAGAGCGCGTGAGAGAGCGCGTAAGAGACGCGCGTGAGGGAGGTGCGTCAGAGAGCGCGTAAGAGAGCGCGTGGGAGTGCGCGTGAGAGAGCGCGTGGGAGTGCGCAAGAAAGAGCGTGTGACAGAGGGAATGCGCAAGAGAGTGCGCGAGAGAGAGCACGTGAGGAGTGCGTGAGAGCCCGTGAGAGAGCGCTTGAGAGAGGGTGTGAGAGAGTGCGTGAGAGAGTACGTGAGAGAGCACGTGGAAGAAGAGCACGTGTCAGAGAGCGCGTGTAGAGAATGCGTGAGAGAGTGTGTGAGAGGAGCGCGTGAGAGAGCGCTGTGAAGGACCGCGTAAGAGATTGCATGCGCGTTGAGAGTGTGTGAGAGAGTGTGCATGATGAGAGCGCGTGAGAGGAGAGAATGCGCAAGAGAGTGCGCGAGAGGGAGTGCGACGGGAATGCGTGAGAGCCCGTGAGAGATTGCGTGAGAGAGCATGTGAGAGAGCGCGTGAGAGTGCGCGCGAGAGAGCGCGTGAGAGGGCGAGTGAGAGTGCGAGCGAGAGAGCGCGTGAGAGAGTGCGTGAGAGAGTGCGTGAGAGAGCGCGTGAAGGACCGCGTAAGAGATTGCATCAAAGAGCACGTGAGAGAGCGAGTTAGAGTGTGCGAGAGAGTATGCATGAGAGAGCGCGTGAGAGAGAGAATGCGCAAGAGAGTGCGCGAGAGGGAGTGCGATGGAATGTGTGAGAGTCCGTGGAGAGAGCGCATGAGAGATTGCGTGAGAGAGCATGTGAGAGAGCGCGTGAGAGTGCGCATGCGAGACGCGCGTGAGAGAGTGCGTGAGGGAGCACGTGGAGAGAGCGCGTGAGAGAGTGCGTGAGATAGAGCGTGAGAGAGTGCGTGAGAGAGCGCATGAGGAGCGTGTGAGAGCGCGTGAGAGTGCGTGTGAAAGTGCGCGTGAGAGTGTGCGTGAGAGTGCGCGTGAGAGTGCGAGTGAGAGAGTGCGAGCGCGTGAGAGAGCGCGTCGATAGTGCGCGTGAGAGAGCGCGTGAGGGAGCGCGTGAGAGAGTGCGTGAGAGAGCGCGTGAGGGAGCACGTGAGAGAGCGAGTTGCTGGGCGTGAGAGTGCGCGTGAGAGAGCGCGTGAGAGAGCGCGTGAGAGAGCACGGTGTCAGAGAGCGCGTGAGAGAGTGCGTGAGAGAGTGCGTGAGAGAGCGCGTGAGAGAGCGCGTCTCAGGATCGTAAACGCCTTAGTCGGCAATAGTCTACTTGCTATCACCTATCGTGTTCTCCACGATCTCCCGAATCCAATGATATGCGCAGCTCTGCTTGAAGTTGTCAATACACACTTCAGCAATTTTCAGAATCTGATTGGTATGATTTCCAGAATGAGTACAAGCAGTTTTATAGTCAGGCAAGACACAAAGTGCGATTCGTAACTTCACTTGTTTCCCAGGTAACCGCGTGCGTCTCGTTTCACCCCGAGTCGCACACGCAACCGAACCGAATTCGCTGAACACTCCGCAAGTCCGAATCCCGAACTTTTTCGAACGCGCCTTGGTCTCGAAGCACATTTTTCCCCTCGTCAGTCTCATTCTCGATGCTTCTCCTTCTCTCTCCCTCCTTCTAGCACATTTCTTCTCGATTTCTCTCCCGCTTCTCACGACGTAGCCTCTATTCCCCACCGTAGGCCGATTTCCACCGTTTTACACACTCGCTTCCATTCCGCCGTCATTCCGCCGTCGTAGATGCTTTCGCCTTAGGTTTCGTGGTTGGGCGAACCAACCCTAACAATCTCCCCTGTGGTTCGTCACCTCGAACACCACTCGCACTGCTCCCCTGCTCCTTGTAGCCTTCACATGGGTCTAAGTCGGCTTCACGCTCCCCTGCAGCTCCTGCACCTTGAACCTCTGCTTACGTGTCTTGAAGTTGAGCGCCTTGACATCCAATCGATGAGAGATTTTCTTAAGCCTCTCACGTCTCCTCGGCATCTTTACACTCAACACCTCTCGGGTCTCGTACCCTTCAACGCGTTCATCTCTTCTTAAGCACTTGCCCCTTTGCAGTTGCATTTGCCTTTGATCCTTCACCATGATGTCCCCTTTCACAGCTTCAACTCCCACACACTTCGCATTACTGCTTCATCTTCAACCAACGATCGCTGCTGCAAAGTGTTGACATCGTCTCCATCTCCACCGTTTACTGCTGCTGCCTCCGTGATCACTATCTCCTCTTCTTGCTTCACTGCTGCCTCCACACTCGCTCCCGTATCATCCGTGTCCTCGCTCTTATCAACCTTAGTCAATAACTCCTCCAGTTCTCCCATCTCACCATGTGAAAGTTTAGAAGAGAGAAGAGGGGTTGCACTAGCAAGAATGGGGATACAAATAAGAAACCCTAGAAGGTTGTACTCGCTATAGAGCACCCCACTACAGGCTAGAGCATAAGATAACATTCTGACACACCCCCATAGCCAAAGTGGGGTGTAATCAGCAGAGCAAGCAAAGCAGTACAAGCTCAGGGTGGATCACAATGTCACCACACATTCTGAGCACAAGTTCAAGAAGCAATAGTTAAAGTTCACAATTATGAGCAAAGCTAGTGGTAGTCACAACGGGCAAGTGAGGAGGAGGAGAGAGAGTGAGAGGAGAGGAGATAGGAGGCGACGGATGAAGCTGCAGACACACGGGCAACAGGAGGCATACTGGCACAGCGGCTACCGGAACAACGCTCCGGAATACTGGAGTAACTGGCCCCGCGGCTAAAGTAGCGGCAGACGAGCAACGGACCCACGGGCGGCTGGCGCAGCTGGCTACGACTGGGCTACCGGACTAAGTCCCCGAATACAGGTGCTGCTGGCGACACGACGGCAACCTCCATTCAGCTTCCCCAAACTATCCCACACTCTCGGCACACGCCCACTGCTCAAACCCTAGCTCCACTCCCACGCACCCCCCTTAAACCCTAAACCCCATCTCCCACTCATCCACCCCCCTCAGCGACAGCTGCAGCAGTGGGAGACGAAGGAGGAGGAGGAGCAAAGGGAGGAATGCACAACTGCCACCCCATACTCGCCACCCCCAAACCCTAACACTGGCAGGGCGGGATGGCGGGCGGGTAGAGAGGTTACGGGGGAGGGGGGGGTGCACGTGCCCTCGGTGCGCCGCGACGGGCGACGCAGCATGGCCGGGGCGAGGCTGGTCTTGGCGCAGCCCGTACGGGCCGCGCGCTGCCTGTAAGGGCGGCGCGCAGGCCACGACGGGCGACGGGGGGCGACGCGCGGGTCCCCGTCGCTCGTCGCGACGCCTCTCGAGGGCGACGCGCCAAGGGACGGGGCAGAAGCCCGCCGCGCGCCTCGGGGCGCACAGCGGGCAGATAACCGCCGCGCGCCTCGGGGCGCACGGCGGGCAGAAAACCGCCGCGCGCCTCGGGGCGCACGGCGGGAAGAAAAACTGCCGCACGCCACGGGGCGTGCGGCACAGAGAGTAGTAATAGCAGTTGCAGCGGAAGCAACGAGGTGGTAAGCCCACCCACAGGATCGATCCAAGGGGATCGACCTGCTCTGATAGCATGTGAAAGTTTAGAAGAGAGAAGAGGGGTTGCACTAGCAAGAATGGGGATACAAATAGGAAACCCTAGAAGGGTTGTACTCGCTATAGAGCACCCCACTACAGGCTAGAGCATAAGATAACATTCTGACACACCATACTCAGGATCCTCATAGATCTCATCCATATCATTCGTCGCGACCAAGTTCATCTCATAGAACCCGTCACTGAAGTAACCATCAGCATACTTCTCCCACTCAGACCAAACACAGTCACCTCACCACTGTCATAGAATATCTGCACCCCAAGTCATCAAGCTGTGACTGACTGACCAAGTTCACCTTCAAATCCGCAACCAGCAACACACTCTCCAGTTTCACTACTCCATACGGACTCTGCAGCACCACATCACCCTCTCCTGTCACTGGTAACTTCCCACTATTACCTTGTAGTTCATAATCCTCACTCGACTCCCTCACATTCTCCATCCAATCCGACCTGAATGTCATGTGACGCGTGCATCCGCTGTCCATGAACCATGTCGTCTTCTCACGTCCGTCCGTCTGCCGAACCTCCATTGGTAAACGCACCACATTCGCAAGATGCGCTCCTCCAAGGATCACATCATCTTCGTTCGCTTCTGCTACATTCGCCTTTGCCGCCACATTCCGCTGCTGCGACGGACCCTTGTAGCTCCTGCTATTCGGATTGGAGTAGCACTCTGCGGCACGATGCCCATAGCGCCCACAATAATCACACTTGCCGCCAAAACCTCGTTCTGCTGCCACTCCGCTCCTGCATTTTCTCCTTTCTCGTTCTCCATCGCTTTGCCCTTATAGTTTCTGCTTCGCGGGTTCTCGTAGCAATTAATCGCCTTATGCCCGCGCTTTCCACACTGGTAGCATGCTCCAAACGCCTTCGTGGCATTCATCAAAGCGGGCCTCCTCATCAAACTCCTTAGCTACTGCTGCTGCTTTCTTTTTCCTCATCTCCTTCACCGTCTCAAGCGACTGCAGAATCTCCTGCAGCTTCATCAAACTCTCCGGCGGTTGGTACGTAAACATACCGATGTCAGATTCCCACTCCTTAGGAAGGCCTTGGATGATATAGTCAATCATCTCATGCTCCGTCTCCGCGGCTCCCATCACCCGCAAATCGTCGTTGTAGCTTTTCGCCCTGTTGATGTAGGTGATGACTTTCTCGCCTTCTCCATGCTCAGCATCAGCAGTTGTTTCCTAATCGCCTTCTTGTTGACATCGTTGGTGCTCATGTATGTGGACTCCAGGTACTCCCACGCTTTCTGTGCAGAGTTCAGCTCCCCTGCAAACTGGTCCAAATCCACCGCGATTCCATCGGCAACTGAATGACAAAGCTAAAAGAAAGCTTGCTTACTTTGCTTTTTGAACGCCGCTATTTTCTCCTTCGTATCCGTCGCGGAAGGCGCAACCCTCCATCGTCTCCTCGTCGGGACGGTAGTACGACAAGAGGTCCACCTCCTCTGCCCTCGAATGAACTTCTTTTGCCACACGTTGTAGTGCTTCCATGAAGCGCTGAGCTTCACTGAGCCCGATCGTCGTTTCGCCACCAATGGCACTCGCAAGGGATCGAGAAGAGCCTCAACTGCGGGTCTCCAAGACTCACACTAGAACCCGAACTCGC